AATGACCTCTAAGGTCCCTTCCAACTTTACTACTACTACTACTACTACTACTACTACTACTACTACTACTACTACTATTATTATTATTATTACATTTGCCTTTTGAAAAAGCACCTTTGGGACAACCATGACTTGGATGATTGAGAATCTGCATAGTCATGGTTTCTCCCTTTTCTAGCCTGGTGCCTTAACCACTACACCAAACTTACTCTCAGTTTGTAAGGTTTGTTGCATTGGGATACATTGTGTGATTTCCGTGCTACAGTTCAAAGAATAGCCATTTGGCCACTTTTGCCTGCTGCCTGTGTACCCAAAGTTTAATTGGTAAAATTTCAAAACCACTGTTTTACTGAGACGGACTTTTCCAGATATGGATTAGCAAAAGGGAATTGGAGATGTTGATTTCTCATCTCAAAACAGCTGTGCTGCTCTATCCTTGCTTTTGAGAAATTTAGGGCTGTTCCCTAGTGATACGTCAAGAAGATTCAAATTGTAGGAGCCACTGGGTGTGCCTGAAAATTAGCTAGCACCTCAGCTATGGTACCCTGCCCCTTTAAGACTTCATCCTAGCAAGCCTACCTGCCCATTAATGAGCAGCTATAAAAGTAGAGCAGCAAAGAGGCTGTGTGTTGTGAGTTGGAGTTCATTCTTTGTGGAGTCAACGTGAAGTCATCTTGCTGGTGGAGTGAAGGTATTTTGGGAGGGTGAGGGGCAGTGGTTTCATTTTTACTTTGTTACTTTGTGGAAGTAAAGCCACTAGAAGCAGTCTATGGCTAGTAGAGACGCTGTTCTTTAGTTTTGGGGCTTACAACTTGTAGTAGTAGACCTGGGGAAAATTCCTGAGAAGGAACTGAGTATTACTCATTGTGTGCTTAAAGGCCAATGGGGCTTGTGTCAGCTCTCTGGGCCCACTGGCTTTGGGCATGGATAAAATAACCTCTGATAATACTTTCCTTCTGGCTTTAGATTCAACAAAAGACCCTTGAGCAGGAGATGATAAATCTGGGACTTGATCTCACAAGCAGAACTGAGGTAAGATGTGCTTTTTTGCTTATTTTTCCCCCTTCTATATCATTGGTGCATCTGTAATAAAAAATGGAGTTGACTTGCATTTGGCAACATATCTTCCTATTTTTTGAAGTGGGGTGGGCTGAGAATAATTGGCCCAAAGCTTAAGGTGGGACTAGAACTCTGTTTCCTGGTTTCTAGCCTGGTGCCTGAACCGTTAGATCAACATTGGTTTTAAAATAGCGGGTGTGTTGAAGATGGACTGTAGTTGGCACTTTCTCTCATAAATGGCAGGAAGAACATTTTTCATTTATGCTCTGCTGGCCATTGTTAAAACACCCAAGAGTTTTCTTCTGTTCATTAGAAATGTGGAGTGTTTAATGGATAGCAGAGGAGTTTTCTTTGTAGGTTCTCAACTGCTATAAGAATTTGTTAATGGAACACCAGGTTGCACTAGGGCATCTGATTAACTTATTAAGGACTCTGATTAGATTCTTTATCTGCAAATATTCAGGTACATTATTTAGCCCAGGAAAGGAGATCACGCAGTGTTACCCGCAAACGTAAGCGAGAAGATTCTGAACCACCATCCTCTATGCCTGTAAGCCGCAGCAGTTCTCGTACCCCTCGTGATGTTTCCGGTCTTCGTGATTTGACAGTATGTCTTGGTTTTATTAAATTATCCCTGTTTATTCCAGACTATTGCATGTGCCTGTTTTGTACTACAGTCTAATTAGCAATTAGAATTTGTTACAGCAAATACTACATAAACTAATGAATTTATGCAGTCACTTTTGTAACATTTTAATGGATGCTTAGTATTGACATATCCAATTACTTTCTATTTTGAGATTGTTATTCCTTTAAAAAAAATTCTTTAGTGAATTATGTAGAAAGTTAACCAGCCAGGTTATCTATGATGTGCATGTTGTTCTTAGTATTGTTTCAAAGCTGCTGGCTATTTCCATGTGTTGGGCTTTTGTAGTTGTAGTTGTTTTTTCATGGGAACTGAAGCTCCACCTATGTGGAGAACAATTTGTGGTTATGTAATATTTAAATTCATAAATGTGTGGGATGTGCACCTTTTTACTTACATATGTTATTTTTATAGATGTTGAAGAAGGCTAAAACCATGATGAAGAATGCTCAAAAGAAGATGAATCAGTTAGGCAAGAAAGGCGAGGCGGATAGAACTATCTTTGACCTGAAGCCCAAACACTTGTTTTGTGGGAAGAGAAAAGCTGGCTCAACCAATCGAAGATAAAGCAACTCTTAACAAGAAAAATAAAGTCTCTATGTTGACACAAATAAATAAATTACATGCATTGAAATTTGCCTTTTCATTTTTCTTTAAAATAACTCTTTAACTGTTACAGGTCTAATTTTCAAAACTGCTATCTTGGGTTATTCTATCATGAGATTGAGGAACGTAGTTTCCTTAAGAAATCACAACTCAAGAGCAGCAATTATGGTTAAGGGGCAAAGAAAGTCCCTCAAACTTAAATTATGGGTATGCAAAGTGGGTTTATGCACAGAACAGCTGGCTTCGGGATAGCTTTATATTGAAATTTTGGTCTGCTGGGGAAGACAGACATTTTAACCTGGGTTGTTAAATGAAATACAGCTGTTCCAAGGTAGAAATGGTTCAAAGGATGTTAAGAGCCCCAAATAAACCTGGGTTGTTAAATGAAATATAGCTGTTCCAAGGTAAAAATGGTTCAAAGGATGTTATGAGCCCCAAATAAGGGGACTGACCATGATGTACATTTGCAGTAGCAGTGTGGTAAACAAGAGAGGTATTGGGATGACGTGGTAGGAATAGGCTACTGGATAGCCATGCTCAAAGGTTATTCCTAAGGCTAGTGAAATAGACACACACAGCTGGAACATAAACATCAGCCAAAGGGGGGGGGAAAGAGAATGGAAGCAGCTGGGAGGATGAGAGGCTGCATTTTAACCATTAAATTCTCAAGGGAGGGAAAAAGATGGAAAACCATTTTCCTATGTGCATAGTAAATCATAGGTGATTGAAAAGACTATTCTTGCTATAACAATGAATTCTATACAATTAGAAACTTCAAAAAATAGAAGTGATTAGTCAACTTGTGTTTCAAAGGGTGATAAGGGTGTATGTGTATATTTGCAGCACCAGTAGCAGTGTGGCAAAGAAGAGAGGCACTGGAAAGTGATGGTGGTTGTAGAAATAGGCTCCTGGATAGCTATGCTGGGAGTTTGTTCTTGAGGCTAGTGAAACAGAGACACAGTTGGAACTGATTTAACAGCCGAGGAAGAGAATGGAAGCAACAGAAGATAAGAGATGCTGCATTTTAACCATTAAATTCTCAAGGGAGGGGAAAAAAGATGGAAAACCACTATACTAGGCATATCCCTTCTAGGCAGGTGATTGAAAAGGCTATGCTTGCTGTAAGAAAAAATTCTATATAACAATTAGAAATTTCAAAAAGTAAAAGTGATATGATAGTTAATCAACTGGTTAATCCCCTTTTATATTACAAAACTGACACCCTTAAAACAGTTCATGTAGAACTCCCAAAATAGATTACTGGGGCCATGACAAGCCATTTGAAATAGGTCCAATGTGTAGTTATTCCTCTCTTCCTTGGAGGATCTGGAAGTGCTACTCAAGCATTTAAAAAGTTTGGATTATGGGCCAGTTTTGTCCTCCAAATAGTACAAATAGTAAAATTACATAATCCTCTAGTCCACAAATTACATTTAACAAGCCATGATGAAGAACACAAAAGCATTTATTTTTGATTCTCCATGAACTAATTAATAGGAAATTTCACACCACAGAGATTCAATCTTTACCCTTCAATTTTCATGGTTCACAATTGTATTTACCAAAAACACACCAACACCATTTCCCTTCCTAGACCATGTGAAAAAGTTATTTACATTTTATTTTTTCCTTTCTTTTAGATCATAAGCTTAATTCCTGTAAGACATATTTAGAATCTACAGATACAGAAATTTTAATATTTCTCGTTTGAAACATCAGGTGTCTTTTCTAATGGGGAAAGTACATCTTAGGTGCTAGGATAGCTTACAACGGAATAGGTTCTTTAAAAGCAAGTCAAACACTAAACGCAGTATGAAGTATCAAACATAAAAGTGCTAATTACTTGAAAGATAAGTGGGTAACTTGAAGGGGGGAATGGCATGGAAAAACTGCTGCACTGCATGCTTCAGCAAGACTCAGGTATAAAATATGAAAGGTAGCTTTTAGAATCGACATTCAGGTTCACCATTTTACCTATATTTAACAAGACTGGTTAGCCAATGTGTTCCTTATTGTGCAAACAAATCACATTGTGGGAGAGATTGTAATCAACCCATAATTACTCCCATGACATTATGGCTCGGTGACTATTCAGAATTACAGTTGTGGCTCGGTGACTATTCAGAATTACAGTGGTTTTTCACGGAGTGCAAACTTGTTAATGACTTTTTATTAATACCATGAAATGAAAGGAAAAGAAATATTATTCCAGGGGCAAGCCAGCTATGCAATGTGAGGTAAATATCTAATTTCCACTTAAGGGGGCCTATTCCTAATTTTCTATGTTGCAATCAATCTACAAATACATTGGTTCAATGAACTTACTCAGCATGAAAAAATTAAGGTATATTTTAGAACAGCCTAATCTGTTACATTCTGTGTATCTTATCATGGTCAACATATCTCTTCAAATTATTCAAGTTATCCCACCACTTAAAGATAAACGCCTCTGCAATTAGTTTGAACCATGGAGTAATCTTAATTTCATTTTGAGAAGCCTTTTCCAGGAGTTTTCTCAATTCTTCTTGTGTCACATAGCAGTAGCTTTTAATTTCATTGGGATCTGGATCCAGCGTTACATTCTTCTGCACGAAAAGGATGTAATCTATTTCATGTTCTCCCCAAATTCCATTGGACTGGGCTTTGTAGTGAATTCGGGTTAGATAGAAGATTTCTTCTGGGGTGACCTACAATCAAACATTTTTCATAAGATTCAATGTCTATTTTTTTTAACAGATTCTCTTTCCCATTCCCAGAACACCTCAATATAGATATAAAAGCAAGTTATTGCTTCTATAACCGCAATGGTGGTTTCGTGGTTTCAGTATTTCATAGTAGACTTTCTGTAACCTGGGCCCTGGCAAGAACCAAAGAAATTTCTGAGAATTGTGGTATTTTTCTGAACATTATGCAGTGATGAAGTAGGTTCAAAAAACGTTCTGAAAATGGTCTTAATAATGAAAATCTTTCCTGTTAATACAGTACTATTTTCAGAGTTTCTTGATCACTCAGCATTTTAGATATGGAGATACAGCTAAAGTTTCCTGTCTAGTATCTATTGGTAGGAAGGAAATAAGAATTGATGGGGTCCCAGCCTGGCCTTTTACTTGGCTAAGGAGATACTTTGTGCATATTTCCAGGACAAAAACAGAATATAGAAAACTGAGCAGCTATTCTACCCTTGTGCCACTTTGGCAAATACTTCCATAAAAGACAATGATAGAGTTTGCTTTGGGAAAATTGACTGTTGGAAAAACCTGGGTCCAAAATTGTTTAGAAGTGTAAATCTGAACAAAGATTCTCTTTATGATGATCTAGCTTGTGACTGGACAATTTCTCAGTTTTGTTTTGTTTTTTTTTTTACATCTGGTAGTGTGTGTATTTTGACCATGTGGTAATTTAGGATGAATTTGAAAATGGGAACTTTGGCATAGCTTATTCTAAAACACAAATGTTGAGATAAAACACCAGAACTAACTATGCACACTAGTTTAAAAAGGGAGACCGTGCAAATGTGACAAAGACAAATTGTTCCCTACTCTAGGCTTTTGGGAATACAGCAGGTTATGAATTTCCAAATAAATATTGCAGGTCAGATTTGTAATTAGGCAAGTGGGATTGCCAAATAGCTAAATGCTATGCAACAACTTTTCCCTAAGGAAGTCATTGCTCTGAAGAGTGTTTACCTGATCCAGTGGAATTCCTAACTCAGCTTTCAGTCTTCTCTGCGCTGCTCTTCGAACGCCAATGGCATTATATTCTTCCAGTTCAAGGGGGGTGCTTAGTGGATGACTGCAACAAGTATTGGTAAAACAGTCTGCCAAAAAAGAAAAGTTTCAATAACGTCCTGCAGTGTTTTGGACAGCAGAATATCTGAAATGCTATACTTTAAAGTTTTCAGATAATACAGTGGCCTGGCTTTGGAATATTCTGTCCCTCCCCATCTGAATGAGCTTTTAATGACAATGACAATCAATTACTGAAGACCCTAGGAATCAGTCATATTTATGTGTCATCTCCAGGTTTAAGCCCAGGATCTCTTCTCTCTCTCTCCTAGGCCCAGGGTGAAGATGAAACTTTTTGCTGCAGGATCCAATCTGGGTCAGTAACGGGGACCAGAGATTTATCCTGCCAAGCTTTCGGACTCATGCTGGAGCCCATCCTTGGGGAATGTCTCTCCCACCAGAATTCTTTCTCTCAGTCTAGTGAGAGAGATGGTCCCTGAAGATGGGAACTTGAGAATGAGTCCGACAGCTCAGATTTATCACACTGACTGGTCCAGACTGGAGCCTAAAATGTTATGTTATATGGGAAACGTATATTTGCCTTCATTTGTGAGCTTTTTGCTGCCTGTTTTTCAGCCTCAAATGTTGGAGACATTTGCAATATTTTGATACAAATTTTGTCTAATTTCAAATTCTTTTGTCAGCTTCAACCCTCACATTGTTTCCCCAATTGACAAATATAAGCACACGATAAACAACCTTTTAAGGCTTTGCTTTACCAGAAAATCTCATCCTCTTATCATTTGATAGATTTTTTTTTAATTTCTCATGCACTACCTGGTGTACCTGAGTTCAGAATGTATTCAAACTACAGATGGATCTCTGTCACACTGTTGTAACGATTCATTATTACATACCTGGAAAAGTGATTTTGGCATCTGATCTCTGTTGCAACAGTAGCTTATTCTCTGTGTTGAACAAAAAGACACTGAAGGCACGATGCAATAATCCTAGTACAGAAAGACAAAGACTATAAATATTATAAATACAAAGACAATCCATTTAATACCTGTTTGTGCTAACTTTAACTTTTAATTTTAAGACTACAGGTAATGCTTGACTTACAATTGTAATTGGGACTAGAATTTTGGTTGCTAACAATGCGGTTGTAAAATAAGATGTCAATTTTACTGGTCATTAGCCGAGTATCCACCTCAGCTCAAATTTTTCTGAGATTGCTCCTATAGCCACAGATGTCCTGGCTTAATTGCCCTCACTAGCCTGCACCCTAAGACCCTTGCTTATCTTGCTCTGCTGCTCCAGATGACCTTTGCTGCCTTGCTCCTGCTGCTGATGAGGTATGCCCAATTGGGCTGCTGGGCTATGAGGGGCTGGCTTCACAAAAGGAAAAAAAAAAAAAGCACAAAGCAGCCTTTTCTCCCTCTCTTTTGGAGCACAAAACCAGCCATAGAGCCCAGAATTGCAGTGCAAAGAAGTATTGTGGCACGTTCCACACTCTTTAAGCTGTTTTTTCTTTCTTTTCCTTTTGTTGCAGGACAAAACCATCTCCATATGATCCAACTTATGTGCTTTTTTTCTCTCCAGGGAAAATGCCACTATAAGCCATCTATAAATTAGTTTGGAGATCACTTGCTTACAGAATGTGTAATCAAGCACCTTTTATCCCCATATAACATCACTTAGAAGCAAATTCCCACTTGATTAATTCACTATCCTTTTATTTAAATAATCTGTTCCTTGTGTCTATTTAATAGCAAGTCACTCCATATTTTTTATTTTACCTAAAGCATCTACTAAGAATCTTTATCACTTCTCTTTAGAGAAATCTAAGATCATGAACTTGCCAAGCCCACATTTTCAAGGCAAAGTAAAACGTGTGCCTTTTAATTGAGCCTGCAAGCAATGAAAAGAAAGAACAAATAAATTCATACTTCCTACTGATGCTTAGAAAGAACTTCAGAATTCACATGCAGCTGATAAAACATATATAATACTAAATCTAAATGGAATGATAGGCTACATCAGAGATAAGAGTAATCTATGAGAAGCTTTTCAGCTTCTCTGTATCAAAATGTTTGTAATGTCTGAAGAACAGAATTAATCCAAACATACTTGATCAACAGCATTTTTCTTTTTCTGATTTTATCTTGATCTATAACTAAAGTTCAGATATCTGGAGGAAAGAAATCTCGCTCTGTGTTGTACAGCGAGTTTCTGACCCGGTTGAGTTAAGCAAGATCCTCCTTGCATACGATTTACTTTAAATAATATTTTACCTTTGTCAATGTTTTCATTCAGGTGGCAGTTTTTCTTTGTGTCTGAACCAATCCTGTTGTCATTTTCATCTATTAGGATGCACATCTCTGACAGCAACTGCACTTGCTGCTCATCCAATTGATCTGTATTTATTTCAGGCATAATTGTGTAGTTGATCTCCCTAAAAAATATACTGAATAGAAACAGCAATTCAGACCAAAACAAAACTTTACCACCCAGAATTTGTGATTAGGTGATCCCAAGACAAACATTTTGAGTTAAAGATTATTAATTGATTGTTCATATTCCACAGGAGCATTCAGATATGCATAAAACATGCAATATAAAAAAACAGGGTAAACTGGTTTCAGAATGCCACAACAATTAGGACACTTCTCTATCTTATTGTGGATTTTTAAACAAACCAAGCTTTTTGCATTCTCCATTCTTTTTGTATATTTATCTATTTTAGTATTTGATCTTTTCAGGAACATATGTGTGCTCCAGCAGATGTTAAATCATTATCACCCTATCCTTGACTTTTTCAGGATTGATTCTAGTATATTTTCTCTCCATGGCAATTTCTCTTAAAGCCCCACAACATCTGCTTTAACAACTGCCTCCTTGATAAGCTTTTCAGCACCTGGAAAGAAAATATATATATTTAAAAAAAAACCTATTATGGTGAGAATAAAAAATAAGAGCGAAAATAAATTGCATGTACAGTATCAACTAGAGCTCCTTGCAGAAAAGTAAGCCAACAGTGCAATGAATGATTACTTAAATGAAGTTTCTCCTTGTCATCCAAAAATCTCATTCAGTTCTGAATTGAAGAAGCTTCTTGGATGAGAAGTGAAACGTTTCCAAAGGGGGAAAAAACAAGAAAGCCCAGTTGTCTTTTGGAAAAAGCATCTTTGGGACAAACATGACCTTGATGATTGAGAATCTCCGTGGACATTATCCCAAGAAAAGCTCTCAACTTTGTCCCCATTTATAATTATTATTTTTGGAAGGTGGGGGGAAGGAATGAATAGTTTAGCGCCCTTGCCTTTTATTCAGGCTCATCTAATCTTTCCCTAGACCAATCTGATGGACTCCCATCTTCCCTAGCCAGCTCAGCCAAGAAGATCCCATGTTTTTGAGTCAACAAAAGAGAATCGCACCCCGAAAGTGGCGAAGGCGGATCTTTTCAGCTGCTGCGAGCAGCGGTTCTTCCAGAGAGCCCTCCCTCGTTAGAAGCAGGCTATACCTCGGACCAAGGGATGAGCAACCTTCCCTTGTGAGAAGCAAACTATCCCGAGATTCAAGGATGGAAGGTTAAAGGCGGCAGTTGCCTTCAAACCCGGTTTCCCGCCTTACCCGGAAGGCTGGGGATAGGGGCGCAGACCCGGCATTAAACCGCAACCCCTCCGATACCCCATCTCGGTCCTTACCGCGCTCCGTTCACCTTCGAGACCGCGACAGAAGCAGGCGAGATCAACCTCCGTCCCCGGCTGCTGGATTGATAGCAACAGCCGCCCGCCCGCGGTGAAAAGTGGAGCGGCGCCGCCCCTCCCCCAGCCAGGGACGACGGCGCCGCCGCCGCCGCCGTTGCCAACCTGCGCGTCGCGCGCCACATCGCCAGGCAACACGCCCCGCGAAGCGCGCGACCAATGACAACCGCGCCGGATTCCCGCGTCAGCGCGTGGACCGATCGCACCACCGTCCAGAGATGATCTGAGCGCCTGCCAGTCATCCGGGCGGGAACGCCACTGGCGGAGGGGTCTAGCCCGATGGCGGGGGAGGCGGAGCTTACGGGAGGCGCGAGGCGGCGAATGGGGGGCGAAGGTAGTTGCGCTGGCGGAAGAATGAAAGCGACCAGTTAAGAAACAGCCAATAGTTGAGAAGGACGGGCAAATGGCTATGTCGGGTAGCAAATGGGAATAAGGATGTGGACGAGAGGTTGGCCGATAGGTGCCTTAGGACATCCACCTGCTGATCAATTCGGGAATAGGACAACAGAGATTCCTGGGAAGTGGAACGGGACAATCGAGATTGCCAGGGAATGGAGAGCAACCAGAGAAGTTGGGTTGCAATGATCATAAGACCTACCCATCGTTGTGGGGACACTGAAGGAGAACTGCTGAAGGAGATCAGACTATTATAAAATACTTTTAACAATAGCATACACTGGGTTAATTTTTTTTAAAGTACAAATTGCAGAGATTTTTGCATATAAGTATGTAAGCAGTTTAAAGACTGAAACAAAAAAAAAAATAAAACTTGCAAGAGACATTTTCCAACAAATGAAATTCTAATGCATACAAATCAAGGGTGTAATTGCAATTATGTGTTTGTAAGATGTTAGAGCAGAATCTTGTGGTGTGTGAAGAATCTTGGGTTTCATCCAGAACCATGTCAATATTGCAGGAAATACCATGATCATCACATTATTAAATAGTGCACTAGACCAAATCTATCCAGTCCAAAGCAGGTCCTTGGTTTAGGATAGGATAAGATATGTTGAAGGAAAAGTCTTCATCATGGTTCAGTCTAAGCTGGGAATAAACAACATGGCGACTGCTTTAGAAAGGAGGTTGCAGTTTATTGGAGAGGAGAGCCAGACAGGAAGATGGTTCTGGAAGAAAAAGAGAGTGAGCACATGTAGGGAGTGTGTTTTTATATCCTCTGGAGCCTTTTGTTTGGAGTTGTTCCTGTGGCATGAACTTTGACCTGAGTCTGAGTGTGCCTTTCTGGTATTCTGATGGTGGTGGGTTAATCCTATTATGTCCCAAGGATCATATCCTGCTTTCCTGGGGCTGTGACTGATGACTCTTAGATTTTTGGTGTTGATTCTAGGGATCGTTCTTCTTAATCCCAGTTTCCTGATTCCAGTCTTTCTGACAAGATTATCACCTATATTTCTACAGACTTGGTTTCTGTTTGGGACAGAGAGACTTGGGGGGAGGGTTGTTTCTGCTTTTAAAATCCTTTAGGGAAATATATTCTGCCTTTTAAATATTTCCAAAAATATTTTTTCTCGGGGGGGGGGGGGGCTGACTTCCCACAGATAGTATGGAAGGAAAAGTCTTCATCAGGGTTCAGTCCAAGCAGAGAACAAACAACATGGCGACTGTTTTAGAAAGAAGGTTGCAGTTTATTGAAAAGGAGAGCCAGACAGGAAGATGGCTCTGGAAGAAAAGACAGAGAGCACACGTAGGGAGTGGGTTTTTATACCCTATGGGGCTCTTGAGCTTGTTTCCTGTTCCTGTTTGAGGCTTTGTATTTCCCATATCATGTACGTTGACATGAGTGTGCCCCTTTGGCATCTGTTGGTTAATCCTATTATGTCCTGTCTTATAGTTGAGTGGGGTATGTAGATTTTAGGTGTCTTTGTCTTCCTAAGTTTCTAGCTCAGACATGTCAAACTCACGACATCACGTGACGTCGTGCAACGTATTGGAACAGTTTTGCCATTGCCGGCAATGGAGTGGGCGCAGCTTCTGGATGACACTTCTGACCTGCGGGCTGGCAGTTTGACACTCCTGTTCTAGCTAGAGGGCTCCAACCTTCCTGTACATCTGCATTTCTACAGAACTGGTTTCTGCTTGGGGGAGGGAGACTTGGGGCTATTAAGAAAAACTGGGCATGCTTTTCTGCCTTTTTAAGATCCTTTGAGGAAATATAATATTCTACCCTTTTAATATTTCCTTCTCGGGAGGGGGGCTGACTTCCCACAATAGGATAGGATAGGATAGGTTAGGATAGGACAGGACCTTGGAGATCTTCTAGTCCAGCCCCCTATTCAAGCAGGAGTACCTGTACCATCTCAGACAAGTGACTGTCTAGCCTCTTCTTAAAAATCTCCAGTGATGAGCACCCACGATTTGTGGAGGTAAGCTGTTCCACTGGTTAAGTGTCCTCACTGTCAGGTTGCTTAATTCCAAGTTGCTCCTCTTAATTCCTTAATTCCAGGTTGCTTCTCTTTGATCAGTTTCCAACCATTGTTTCTTATCCTGCCCTCTGGAGCTTTGGTGAATAACATGACCCCTTTTCTTTGTGCAGCCCCTCAAATACTAGAATATTGCTATCATGTCTCCCCTATTTCTTCTTTTCCTTAGGCTAGCCAAACCCAAGTCCTGCAGCTGTTCTTCATATGTTTAGTTTCCAGGCCTTTAATCATCTTAATTGCTCTTCTCTGAATTTTTTCCAAACTCTCAACATTTTTTTTGTGATATGGTGACCAAAATTGGCTGCAATATTCCAGGTGTGGTCTTACTAGGGTTTTATAAAGCGGTACTAATACTTTGCGTGATCTTGATTCTATGCCTCTATTTATACAACCCAGGATTGTATTAGCTTTTTTGGCTGCTGCTGCACACTGCTGGCTCATAGTCAAGTGATCATCCACTAGAACTCCAAGGTCCCTCTCACAGTTACTGTTTTTAAGCCAGGTCTAGCCCAATCTGTACTTGTCCCTTTGATTTTTCCTGCCTAAATGTAAAACTTTGCTTTTCTCCACAATGAAAGTCATTTTGTTGGATAGGGCCCATTGTTCAAATTTGTCAAGATCTTTTTGGATCCTGAGTTTGTCCTCTGGGGTGTTGGCTACTCCTGCCAGTTTGGTGACATTTGCAAATTTAATGAGTTCCCCTTCAATTCTGAAGAACAGAACAGAACAGAACAGAATATGTTTATTGTCATTGTGTAACCCACAACAAAATTAAATGCTGTCCACAGTGCACACTACACACAAGTAAAAACCACAAATAAGAACATACATTATATACGCACATGCTTCACATTCTATTCACTATTGCGCTGCCCCTAATATTGCACTTCTGTGTTGCACTGTACTGTGGTATTTATAGTTCTGTGTTGCACATGTACTGTGGTATATATAGTTACAGTACTGGGATAAAAATTATTTTTCATCCCATTTGTCTTGTTTTTATTATCCTGTACCATCTGCCAGATGGTAATAGTTCAAAAAAAAAAGAATGTCCGGGATGAGATGAATCTTTAAGAATATTTTGAGCTTTCCTAAGACAACGGGAATTGTACAATTCATCCAGGGGGAAGAGGAGAGGGCAGCCAATAATCCTCTGGGCGATGGTAACGATCCTCTGTAGCGCTTTCCTATCTCCTACTGTACGGTTGGCAAACCACACACAAATGCAATAGGTTAGAATGCTTCTATGGAGCAACTTTAGAAGGTCGCCAGCAGTTTTTCATTCAGTTGTTTCCTGAGACGTCTCAAGAAATATAATCTCTGCTTGGCCTTCTTAACTGATGCTATAACATGAACACTCCAGGTTAGGTCCTCCTTTATGGTAACACCCAGAAACCTAAAGCTTGCCACCCACTCCACACAGTCTCCACTGATGATCAGGGGCTGAATGTCTGATCTATTCGTCCTGTAATCTATTACAAGCTCCTTGGTCTTAGTTGTGTTGAGAACCAAATTATTGTCTCTGCATCACAAGAGCAATCACTCCACCTCATCCCGGTAGGCAGACTCATCCCCCTTGGAGATAAGCCCCACCACTGTTGTATTATCTGCAAATTTAACAATAATCTTGCTGGGATGAATAGGGATACAGTCATAAGTATAGAGGGTGTAAAGTAGGGGGCTCAACACACAGCCCTGTGAGGAGCCTGTATTAAGAATAAGAGCTGAAGAGATATAGTTGCGTAACCTAACCCTTTGAGAGCGGTCAGAGAGGAAGTTCATAATCCAAAGGCAGACTGAATGTGAAAGTCAAGATTGACAAGTTTAGACACCAGTGTGTATGGAAGAATTGTGTTAAATGCAGAGCTAAAATTCACAAAGAGCATCATTACATAGGTCTCCCACCGCTCCAGAAGAGTCAGAGCTGTATGGAGAGTGATGGCTATGTCATCCTCTGGATCTTTTTGCTCTGTATGCAAACTGGTGACTGTCATGTGTGTATGGGAGGCAGGACACAATGTGCCTGTGGAACAGTTTTTCAAAACACTTCATGATAATAGGGGTGAGTGCCACTGGTCTATAATCACTGAGACTCTTAATAAAGGACTTCTTTGGTAATGGAACAATGATGGAGATCTTCAGACAGGATGCAATAGTGGACTGGGATAGAGACCGATTAAAAATCTTGATAAAGACCATCCCCAGCAAACTGGTCGATACAGTCTTTAAGCACCTGGCCAAAAATGCCGTAAAGTCCAGCAGCCTTTCTTGAGTTCACAGCTCTCAAGGTATTCCTCACCTGATGCTCCTCCATGGTGAGGGGAGGGTTGCGGTGGACTAGTAGCTGTAGCACAGCTGTGTCTGATGCTTCACTTCAAAGTGGACAAAGAAATGATTCAGCTCCTCTACCAATAAAGCATCCTTGTCAATCGGAATGATGTTATTGGGTCTATAGTTGGTGATTTGTTGGATCCCCTGCCACACCTGCCTTGCATCATTGTTATGAAAATAATCTTCAATCTTCCTCTTATAATCTGCCTTGGCCTGCCGAATGCCTCTCTTCAGACTAGCTCTGGAGCACTATATTTTTCCCTCATCACCAGACCTCTGAAGGCATTGTTTTTCTGTTA